GTTTTATTGTTAGTTTTAAGTATTAAGTTTGTTTTAATTGTTACTTAAATCTTTTTATATGTTGTAGTATTGTTTAATTTCATCATTTAATATTTTCTTTTCATATTATCTTTACTTATTTTACTTTTTATAGTAATTCTCTCAGATATTTTATTCTTTTGATAAACTTACCATTCAAATATTATAATCATTAAAATTATACTATACAAAATTCATAATACATACCAACCGTTCAAACAGAGCGTAACACAGACAATTTGATTAAGACTCAAAATTTAAGACGTCTAATATGAGTTTTTGTTTTTTTACTATTTTATTTGTTCTACAAGTGGATGAGAGGACAATTTTGCAGATAACAACAAAAGAGAGGTTGCTTCCGTTGGTCACTAATAAGTTAAAGGGTGTCTTTGAAATAATATCCTTCTCTATCCTTTCATGGGGTCCATTTCTGGGACCCGCATTTGATTTTTATTGCCTAATCTTGAAAATTGATGAATGTATAAATGATAAAATAAAATAAAAATTCCTAATCTTTTCCTTCTGGTTTAGGTAGGAGAAATTGTCAATACAAAAATCGATTTTTGCGGGTCAACAAATATAAAATAGGATCTCTAACTAATAGTAACCAATTAATTATCACCATTTATTTCCTTTCTAAAAATTTAAAACATAAATTCAAATATTGATAAAATACCAAGCCTACTCTAGGATTGAGTGATTCAGTTCAAAATAATATCAAATATGACGTTTATTTGATGAATTTAATTAAGAAATAAATTTCGTTTTTATCATAATGGTAAGCACTCAATCTAATTACAAGTGATATCAAAACCAAAGTGATCATAAATTTAATTTTCAAGAGCAACATGTTGCATGAAGCATGTGTTGAGAGGGAGATTATTGAATAATGTCAATTTCCTATTATATGTGAAATTAAATGGAAAAATTATAAGCAAATTGTTGTGAAACCAATAATCAGGCCCATCTCAAATTTGAGAGACCCCCATTTTTTAGTATAACTCTTATTATAATAGTATAACCCCTTTTTAACAAAAACAAAATAAAAATGTATCGTGTCTTTCATTTTATGTCTTTTTTTAGTTTGTTTCGAAACATTAAAGAATGTTTTTTTCTTTTTTGTCAATCTCTAAATTTAACTTCCGTATGACATGTTTAAAATCACAAGATTAAAAAATATTTTGATATATATATATATCTTTAATTTAACACCATAGAAAAAATAAAAAAAATTCAACAAAAAAAAAGAAATAACTTTGCATCTTAAAAATAAAAAAATAAATTAATTAACTGTTAGGCCTCAAATTTATTTTTGGATTTAAACCACTAATTAACTTGAGCCGACACTGTCAATAATGCTATATGAACACAAATGTTAAGCCTTTTGTATAACCATATCCATCTGAGATAAGTATTATAGAAATGTATATATTTATAATATTATATGAGTTTTTTGCTAATTTGTAATCATGCTCAACAAAAAGATACAAATCATATATTACAAAATAGAGAACAAATATCGATTAAAGGAGTAAAATATAACAAGACAAACTAAAAAGCATGTAAAAATATATATATTCTCTTAAAATAGAGAACATAACAAAAAAAGAAATGCCATTGATGAGTATAGGAATTGTACTTCAACTGGTTGGGAATTTGGGATTATGATTTATAAACATATAAACTTTAAATATTTATACATTTAAATTAGGTCTAGAATATGACATGGATGATGAATAAACAAAATAAAAATGTGAAAAAGTAGGAAATCATTCTCCTATATGAAATACATCCTTAGCTATCGCAGTCTTTATTTATGTTTTAAAATGAAAACCGTGACATGATAAAAATTCAGTTAACAAGCTTATACTAAAATTCTTTCAAAACAAAAAAGTTATTACGAATTCACGATAACAATCAATCCAAACATAGGAATACTTTTTTTCCCTTTTTTGAATCAGATTTTTTCATAGAATGCAGCTAGAATACAATAATTATCAACCACATATTATTTATGTCATTAAAAATGAGTGACTTTGACAACTAAAAAAATCTCCTGTCAAATTAGACGTGATTATCAAATTAATATTTATTTGATATTAATTCTTTTTCCAAAGAATTGAAAATCTAAAGTGATAGAGTGCTAGTCGGTTAAAGTTTGTGTTAAAGTCCAATGTGACAAAAACACTCTGTTAACCCACAAGAAAAATTAGGGGAAAAAATATGAGAGGAGACATCAGGCATGACGTGCCATAAACTGTATTTGGACCAATTAGAGAAATATAAAAAGTGAATGAATTATGTCTCAAATTATTTGTCGTGTTTTTTTTATACGTTTCTTAAAAGACATTAATTAATTTTATTTATTTATTTATATATTAAAGATATAATTTTTTCATCAAATATTTCATTTATTGAGGTGTTTAGTTTTTAAAAGCAAGGATAAAATAGAAAAAGTAATTAATTTATTTTGTATTTATAAAATAATGAATTTGAGATAATTAAAAGCTTGTGTTTCAGGTCAATAAAAGATTACATAGACGTCTCTTAAGTCTTCCTGAATCAACGAGCTTGAGTTCTTCTGTTCAAGTGTATTTTTTTTATATAGAAATTACGATAAATAATTTGAGATGACGGAACGGTTCTTTTTAAATTGAAAAAGGAATTGTTAGATAGAGCAGCTAAAATATCTATGTCCATTTCATTACTCATTACTCATCAGCCACTTGTGTGTTATCCACTAGCCAGCAGCCAATCAAACAAAATGAAATCAAAAGAGGACAACGTAAGCTATTATGTGCAAGAAAAGGTAAGTTGTTTCTTAAAAGACATGTATGTATATTATTGTTCCCCATTTATTGGAGGCTAGTCTTTCATGCTATAGTTTTTCGTTTTTATAAGGAAGTGAAATTGATATAACACGATATAAACTGATTTATTAGATTAAATTCGAATAGATTAATAATAATATATTCCTTTTAAAGTTTAAGTAGATTAAATAACACCAATCTCTCAACATTTATTAGTATACAAAAACTTCATCGTAGAGTTGCTAGTATTAAAGTTGTCAAACTATTTATAGACCAAACCAACATCCCCAAAAATCTTTTTCCAAGACCATATGTTTTTTTCTCTTTGTAAACAGTCATACTTGTATAGTTATGTTTACGGGAACAGCCGTCTTTGATGGAAAACTACTTTCACGTTTGGTTCACTCGAATGATGTTCGAGGCTATGTTTATATTGCACCAAAAATTAAGAGGTTATGTTATGAGCAAGTTACGTAGTTATTTTGTTAGAATTTTACACCCTTTTTTTTATGTATGGCCAAGAGATTGATTGACATAATATTTCCTCAAGATAGATGATGTGTTTTTGTGTCATTCTGCTTCGGAGTAATTACGATACTAAACACTTTGATTAACTAGTTACCAAAATTTATGCAAAATGCATATATTGTGTATATTTCGACCATAATAGTAAACTAGTTATCGAACCGTACATATCTGTAACTTTCTCTTTTGCATATTGAGTGATATTGTGTTGTCAATATTTAGGAGTCTGGCCCAATACTGGTTCAAGCTAATGGGCCTAGTTCGAGCCCAACTGGGATCCAAAAGCCCAAACTTAAAGCATAGTTTGGGGCCTCTGTGGACCACATCGGCAGATTAACACCACGTCAGCTGATATATATCAACTCGCGCGTGGATCCACGGCGTCAAATTCGACCCGGATCCGGCACTAATAGGTCCGGTTCCCGTTTTCACACTTTTGGAGCTGCACCTGAAGAGATTGCTCATTGCCCCGTCGAAGCGGAAGCGATTGCTGAAGAAGATAGAGGAAGAAGACCATGGCCATGGCAATGGTAGAAATAGTAACGATAAGCCAAATAGTGTAAATGAATATTGTTCAAATCGTAGTTGATTCTTAATCAGTAGCTAAAATCATTGTTTCTGTTGATCCGCTCTTCTCCGAGGACTCTTCACGTCTTCAAGTAATTACCTTTGACCTTTTCTCTGAGCATTTTCCTTCTGTGTGCATAAGAAGCTAAACTAAACATATTACCGTTTATTTATGTGTTTTATCTGAGTTGCCTATAGTCTTTGTTATCAATGACATTTTTGTGCTATAAATTTTTTGATGGAGATGGCTGAAACGAGATTGGGATTTAGGAGTATGCCTAAGAGCTACTGCCTGAGTATGTACAAAGACGTCGTCCTCGATGTGTGTACTGGGAGACAACCCAAAGTAATGTTAAAAGATAATACAAAGGGATTTTGGACAAGTTCTAGTTATTCCTTTTGCACGTTTTGATAAATTTATGTACGTGAACCGATGGATTAATCTCTGTCGTTTTGGTTTCATAATGATATATTTCTGCTTATCATTAAGGCTATTCCTTCATTCTGGACTATTATATGCCACTGGAATTTCAGTCATCAATTTTCTAGCAGCTGGTTTTGGTATTGATATTGGTATAGTTGAGTATTGAATTCTATGATGGAGCATCCTTGTAAGGATTCAAGAGGGATAAATCGTGCAGTGATCAGCCATAGAAAATTAAGTGGTAATCTCAGAATTGAGTGCTTTGCATGGCAATTGCTTACTTTGTAGAACTTCTCCTAACACTTTTTATAGTTTTGTTTGTCGTTGGTCACTGAACTAGTATATCATTTCTAACAGTAAAATTCTTTCCACCCACAAGAGGAGTTCTAGCTGGTCTTTAGTAATTGATTTGGGAACAAACCTAGTTGTGCTTCTTGTTTGTGTTGCTAAACTTTAGTCATTGTATGTGATTCGATGTATTTTGTAAATATTGACTAGTTCGTTTTTTGTTTTGCTTCTTGATAAGTACTGTGTTTTGTTTGTTTTGTGTTTAACCTTGTAGGAATTCTACATAGAGTGATGGCAGAAGAGTCAACAACATGTGTCTGGCATGGCTAACGGCTCATCAGCAAGTCTCATAGACGACTTCCCTGAGCGAATTTCCGAAAAGAGTCCTTGAAAACAATCTTCTTAGGGGTGGTCTATAAACATAAGAGAGAAACAAAGTGAAAAAAAAGAGATGCTGGGATTTTCATATGGAGAGGTATTTCTGTTGCTTGGTGCTACTGCTGCTCTTATTGGACCTAAAGATCTACCAATCATCGCTAGAACACTAGGCAGATTTGCTGGGCGTTCGATTGGTTATGTTCAATTGGCCCGTGGCCAGTTAGAAAGTGTCATGCAGCAGTCCCAAGCTCGCCAGGTGCATAAGGAACTGCAAGATACCATGGCTCAACTAGAAGCTATACGTCATGAAATTCGAACAATCTCTTTTATGAATCCTGGTCCACTGACATCAAAGCTAGTGGACAACATCAACACTACAGCTGGGGATAACACGACTGCAAATGGACCTCAAAAATCTGATGAAGAGAGCACAATCGTTGAAAATGGACCTAAAAAATCTGATGAAGACATTACAATAGTTGAAAATAGACCTCAAAAATCTGATAAAGAGAGCAAAACAGTAACTATCACACCTAAGGAACATAATTCAAGGAACTCAGCTTTATCTGATATGCACAGCCAAGCAGCTGCTTATGCGAGATTGGCAGAGATGGCTCCTTTGAAATCTGTATCTATAGAGAGAGAAGGTCTGAGTGAACTGACCGATGAATCTGGCAGTATTGTTGTACTTCCTGTCTCTGCTGAAAGCGCAGGATTGTTGCCAAAACGTAAAGCTGGAGCAAAAGGGTCTGACATTATCTTAGAAGCAATACTGGAGGCAGATGTGGCAAAGAATGCCAAAGAATTTTTCTCACAGCCACAAAACCAATTAAAAAGTGAATGAAGAGGTTTACTTTCCAACTTTAAGACCAATTCTGTAATCTTTATTTATTAAAAGACAACACATTAGAGGTTTACTAAGTTTATGGTTCTTTTGAAGCCTATATGTTAGGCTTCCTCGTATTTAGGCAATGTGAATTACATTGCATCTAAAAAGCATAGATTTGCATAGAATAGCTTAGTTTGGTAGGTTTGTACTTTTGTTTGGTGATCCTCTATATCCTTCCTTTCAAAAGTTCTTAGCATGTTGAGTTGTATGATTTTGAACTATCATAGCTCTACTAAGTAGTATGAAATGCTATCTTTTCAGTTCTGGAATCAGCTCACACTTTGTTTTGTTGGCATTGCTTGAAAGCTTAAGTACTTCTGTCTATGAAGTGTATCCTAGGCCTCTCTTTCTGGTTATGTAATGTATCTGATTCCACATGATGTCATTTTCCAAGTTTGTGACCGTGTGTCATACCAGCTTGCAAGCATAGAAACCTTTCCATGATTCCCTTCAGAATATACAATACCATATGATGGGTGTGGCCTGTAAATTATGCTTTTGGCCTACTGGCAACATGGTTAACACATTAGTACACACTTCGTCTTGCGGTCATTGACCAACTTGTCAATATGTATGGGCACATGATGCCTATGAGGGTTCACCCACCTGATAATAGAATTCCTTTTTATTCTTCTTAGAACAAATGCACTCCTTTTTTGCTGCATTGAATATGTTCTTTAAAGTTAAAAACAGTGGGAACTGTTCTCCATGAAATTTAAAACAGTGGGAAGTGTTCTCCATGATCTTCTCTAATCTTTGGAGGAAAACTATTAGGATAACTGGGCCTCTGTATATCCATGGTCTCTGTGCAGGACAAGAAGAAAGCAGCTTCTATTAGAGGGCCAGAAGTTAATAGAACTGTGAGGGACCCATGGCGAACTTGAGGTATCATGTTTAAGTTCTTTGAAACACAACCAAATTTGGTTTGGATCAGTTAGTGCTAGAAGACTGATCAACCTGCATTATGTCATGCAATTGCGACGTCTATTTCATCATCAGTTAATTTTTTATTTTTTTTTTGGTGCCAGAAAGAGAGAAAGTGAGATTTATTAGTCCTTTGTGAACTCCTCCTAAAATGACCAAGTAGCGATGTGGACAATAGATTTAATGATACAATGTTTTACTATCCATTAGCAATATTAGTCCAGAGTCCAGGTACAACCGTACTGAAGAAAGATACAGTTCCAATAATGTTACTAACATACTACTGAATTCTCTTTAACTTTAGAAATTATAAACTTTTATTTGAAAGTCACAATTTCACAAAGCAGTGGGAGCTTAGTGCATCGGGTTGCCATTTATAATGATAGATACTCTAAAGAAACCTAAGGTTTCAAAAGCGTGTTTGCACCGGGTTAGCATGAGGGAAGATGTAAATAAATGAATTAGAAGTCAATACGAAGCATTGGACGTATACATTTTAGGTTATAACAATAAGCGAGCTAGTTCTCGTCGCATGAACAATATTAGTTCATGTATTAGGTAACATTAGTCACATCTTATATGGTTCTGTAGGTTGAACCCTTAATATTTGCTTATATCTATTTACTAGTCCTTTACCCTCTCCAAATGTTTAGTTTGACTATTTTCAGGGTACCAAACCCAAAAAAAAAGGAGAGGAGAATACATAAATGATTTGGAAGATGTTGCATGTCCTTCTTCAGCTATGCAGTGCATTTTCAACTATCCCATCCCAGATGGTGTAACCTGATTATCTTGCTTGTTTTGCAACAGTTTTTGAAAGAGATGGTGTATAAACTTCGCATGTGCAACAAAAGAGGAGGAAACCAAGAGAACATTTTAGCTGAAGCCAGAGTATAAGAAATCTGCGAAGGATACAGGTGTCGAACCAATTGTGTCTCCGTTTTAATGTATATTAGATGTGCAACGTAGAGTGATAGGTTTAGTCAGAATTCTCATTTTCAATATTTATCGATAGGTGTGTTGATATAATGTTGTTGTCAATCATGAGACTGCATAGAGTTATGTGGATGGGATACTTACTGGAATGTGCTAACTTAACCTATTTTCTTTATTTTACTTTGCCTTTTAATTTTTTGCTTTCTAGCTGTATCTCCTAATAGATTTCCGCAATTTGATGTAGGCTGTTAATGCCATCAAAAGTTCTCCATCTCTGTTTAGCTGTTCAGTTTGCTTTTTCTTCCTTTTCTTCTTCTGCATCCTTAACAGAGTTATTGAAACTGGAATATAGGATTCCTTTATAAAGATCACACCTTCCCCTCCTAACCAAGTGAAGGGGAAAATGGAAGAGTTCAGCGACATCCTAATGATTTTTTTTCAGGAATATGGAGGAAGTTACTAATGCTGTGTCTTGCACTTGATGTCTTCTACTGTGATTAAGCTTGCATCCTATAAGATCTACCTAGTTCGAGGGAAAATCCAACTTCATGCTATTTTGATGCTTGATCCACAATCTCAGCCATGCAATTTATTGAACATGCTGTCTATGCTTGTACTGGTATTACTTAAACTTTTCATAGTTTGCACAGTTTACGTTTATTTGAAAGGAAAGAAATGGGGCTCAGGCTTTGCGTTTTTTCCTAAGGTGTATTATCGTCTGATAGAGTTAGGTGGTTTATAGCAATCATAATCATATTATGTTGATATCAATCTCTGGTAGCTACGAATATTTGTACAGGGCCAATTTCCCATGATGGTAGTGTGACAATATATCAATTCCTTACGCATGTGACCTATGTCTTGAGTTGTAGCCATTTTGAGTGGTTCGTATATATAGCTAATTGATTGTATGATGAGATAAGAATTCAGAAATATCTTCTGACGTGTAGTGCATGAACAGAATACTCTTTCGCACTAGCTTTCTGGTCTTTCCCTATAGAAAAAATGGTAGGGTATAATTTGTTTCATAGATGGGGTATCTTTGGCACCAAGGACGGTTGTAGTTGCATAATTGGATCATGAAAATGGTTAGACATATTTTGGTAGTCTACATTGGTGCTCTTCTGTACTCCTTGGAGTCGCCATTAGGTTCTGATCCAGGGTCTTCTCAACAACAAAAAAAATTGGAAGCTTGTTGTTTGTAGTTTAATACTCCTAATAATTTGTTCGATTTTAAGGAATCGCAATTGTTGCAATAAACTTGTAAATTCCCACTATTTATGCTCCCTCTCCTCCCTTTGATTTTACTGGTTCTTTTGACACATTTTCTCTAGTGATGTCTACGTGTATTTATTTGTTTTTAACTTGTTACAGTGGATAATTCAAATATATATGCTTCATGATTCAAGAGAATTGTATTATAAATTATAATGTAAGGCAGAGGGCTAGATACCTAAAATGGACGAGTACTGGAGGAGTGGTGTTTGGTAAGGAGTATGCCTTTCAAAGGGAAAGACAAGTTCTGTAACACGGTAGTGAGAATAGAAATAAAATTTTAAAAGTGAGTGTTGGGTCTCTATGACCCATCATTTCCATTCAATGGGTGTTGTAGGAATGTTCATTTAAAGCTGGATATGCAGTCATACAAAATTAGACAAGATTATAAATAATTATATCAGACAAAAGGTCCAGGTCCATACATGGAGGATAAAACAAGAAAAGTTCCTTGAGATGGTTTTTATCTGCTTGCGGACCTCCAAATGTATTTGTCCGAAGGTGTTACTTACTATGATGATTGAAGTTGTTAAAAAGGATGAGTTAGACCTAAAATCAGATAGAGCTAAGTTGTCCAAAAAAATCTACAATCTTAGGAATTCATGTAGACTTAGCAAAGAATAGAACAAAATGAAACAAAAACTCTGGATAGGAGTTTCCAATAAATTTGAATTAAGGTTTGTCATATTGATGCACTTACATTAAGTTTGATGTCTTCCAGAAGTTTTTAAGTTGTTTAGAGAATCGCATGTTAGTAGAAGACATCGAGGATTCTAATCTTAAAAAAAACTACTTCGTCTTTTTAGACAAATGATTGAGTATTTGAATAAAACGAGTTCAAATGGAGTGAAATGGACGTTAATGATTTCCATAGGCCATAGCCATCCCTAACTAGTTTGGAATTAAGGTGTAATAGTTTTTATTGTTGAATGTATGAGTAGTGGGTTAATACAGATTGCTAAGCCTCTAGTGTAGTAATTAGTTCATTTATGTGGAAAGAAGGAACGATCAGTAGCCTAAGTAAAAGAGCATTGGTGATAAATGCATGTTTAGCATGAGGTTTTCATTATTTGGAATTATACAAATAATTCTATTAAACAATGTAAATAATAGGAAATAGTGAATATGACTAGAATCTATTCCTTGCAAATATGAAAAGGTTCAGAATTCCTGTAATTATGTAATTAGGAGTGGGAATCCTCAACTCATAAGCTAGCTTTTGGAGTTGAGTTAGGGTTAAGACCCTTTTCTATTACATGGTATATGTCACCAGTGCCAAAACCATCCTTATTGTTGTGTTTCCAATGTTGAGCCCTATGTTATGTGTTGTTCATGCTCTAGATGACCGATTTTGGGCATGAAAGGGGTGTTAATTGTTTCACATTAGTTGAAGGAATGGGCTATAGTCTCCTTATATGATCTTAGACAATTCTCACCTCATGAAGTATTTGGACCCAAGATCTATTTTCTATTTCATATCATTTATGTGCCTTCCACCATCCTTGAACAGGTCAGGTTGTTGAGAGGATATCTTTCCATGGGTGAGAGTAGATGAGACATTTTTGGAGTAGTTTATAATGGCTTGGAGTCCCACATTATGAATGTGTAGTTTTTGTTACCTGAGGAGGGGGTGGGGTGGCTATTGCTAAGAACAAGAGTGATGTGTTTTCAACATTGCGCTAGAGGTTTTTACTTGACGGATGGTGCTTCCTTTGGAATCCCTGCCTAGGGTATTGTGCTTGTTCTATGGATTTTTCAATATTTGTGGGTGCAAAAAGAAATGTTAGACCTTATAATTAAGGTGCCAAAGTGTAGATTTTTTCCTGTGGGGTTCAACAACAGGTTGAGGGGATCAGGAGCATCTGTCAAGTACTTTTTCCAGTTAGTGATGTCCACATTACACTGGACAGATGTACCTGTATTTGTGCTACATAGCAAAGAAAATGATTGCAGCTCAATATATCTGGTGTCTTCGATCTCGTTTGAGTCTACATTGAATATATTCTGTCCTTTCTGCTTAGATAAAAGCAGAACAGCTACCCCACGGGTATAACGGTCATGC